CGTGTGCTAGACGACACTTGTCAGGATTTGACTTCGGTTTTGGGAAGGGGAAAAAACGCACACACCCTCCAACCTCTCTGGGAAACGCGTATCTGTGTTACAAATGCCCCAGGCACAACGTTTAACCATATTTTTGATAAAACTACGACGGTAATAGCCGGCCGAGACCAAAAATATGAGACAACTGTGTTAAAGTCAATGGAGCGCTGTGAAAAAGTGTCGGACCACTGTGGGAGCTCTTGGCTGCGCTGTGATTGGCCAATCTACATTCTAGGGTGTGGCTTAGCCAAAGGCGAATTGTAGTTTAAGGGTGTATTCACACCAGGAAAGTCCGATAGGTCACTTGCTTTGGTCCGGACCAAATCAATTATTTTTTTGGTACGGTTCGATTTCACACTGCTCTTTTTGCAAGTGAACCAAAATTTGTAAACAAAACCACACGTGTGCTAAGGTCGTCAGTTCATTGGACAAGGATTCTCAAGTAGGGAAATCAGGAAGTGCAAAAAAGGCTCAGCATGGAGATATTTCGTACTGCAATATTGGTTATTTTTACTAATTTTGTGTTATTCTGTACAAACGCAATATGAAGAAATGAGTATCATATGATACAATGTCATCATCTATATGATGTTGCAATTCGGATTTTGAGAAGACGACGCGATGTGCTGCAAGACGGTTCCGGCGGAGAGAACATGCTCTCATGTGAGCCCATGGCATGCTGACAGTGGCCCTGCGCAGAAGACGGATAAGGTATAAAGTTCATTCATAGAGAAGGGCTATGTTCATAGCGCAGTGCTTTCTTGCAATTGGGTCGGTTCATGTTCACACCGTAACCGAGCCGTACCAGAGTTCGTTTGGAAGCGTACCGAGACCACCTCTTCAGCTAGGTCTGGGTTCGGTTGTTTGCCCCCCCCCCCCCCCCTAGTTCGATTGCTGTATTCACACCTGCCCAAAAGGTCCGCACCAAGGGGGGAAACGAACTAACCAAACAAGGCAGGTGTGAATACACCCTAAGTTTGCGCTGAAACTATATTTACCTTTTTGGAAATACTCCATTAAACCTGCTGACTGAGAAACGCGGAGCGGGCTAAGAGCAGCTCCACACGCATGGACACAGTGTTCTCCTGTGGCTCGCGCACAGGCTTCACCCAGACGCGCGCTTCGCTCTATCGCCGGTGCGCACACTCCCCGCGTTTATTACATTACTATCTTGGTATGAACATTCACCCGCCAGTGTGGCGGATGGCCTTTTGAGATTCACTCGCCAAACGGAAAATATACCGCATTTGGCGCTTGACCCTGACACACCCGCATCAAAACATGTGAAGTCACGGAGAAATTTTGCTCATCCGCAAATCAGTATGTGAACTCATCCAATGAGTTGCACACTTGTAGAATATTATATTTCAAAAACAACGGATTTAAGCGCTAGATTTCTTATTTAATAGCGAACTAAATGAATGCTCTGCTAGTTAACTGGAGATGTTTTATTTATTTGTATTAGGTACATCCGTTCTATGACATTAGTATATTTTAGGGATGGGCATTTTTCAAAAAAATCGAATATTTGTTTATTTAAATGACGTTTAACGAAAAAGACGTTATTTTTTAAGATAATTTTTTTTTACGTTTTTGTCACATTTCTGAACAAGTTTACGATTAGGAAATATACACAACTAGCTTACGATATATGTTAAAGTTTTCTTTTAGTTGAAAACATTAAACAGTAGGCCTATGTGTAAACAAAAAATATAAAAAAACAAAAGCATTAATAAACGCATGCTCAATGGGAAAACACGCCTAATAAAGCAGATTGCGCCAGATATCGTACAGAACGTACACACACTTGAGTCAGCATATGATTATCGTGTTTATATTGTTTGACATTTATGTTGAGAAAAACAATAATATCCATATCCACATGCAGGGGCGCCGCCAGCAACTTGTGCTCGAGTGAGAAAATATGTGAATACACGAATATTCGATCTGTAATTATTATTTGAAAAATAAAATATTATTAGAATTTTACTAAGTTGCTTTGCTGGCCGTAAATGCAGTGAATCCATGATAAATCCCAAGCACTAGCTCGCAGTTATAACTAAATGCACTGGGTGGCGCTGTGGAGTGTGTTAAGTTGTGTGTATTTGATCACATAATGTTGTCGTCTGCCTCGCGAAGTTTGGAATTACTTACTATCTTACTAAATGATATTACAAAATGGAATTACTTTTGATCAAATTAATTAATTAATCTGAGTTGTAATATCATCCCCACCATGAGAAATCACATGAAATCCAAACAGCAGTCGACTGAGGAAAGGCAGCTGCCCATCACGACTGCAGGCAAGCGCAGCTGGATATCCCAGAGGATAACTTATCTTACAGCTTAATGATTTAGAGACATATGCTTCCTTAGGGTTTGGTTGAGGGAGACCGGTTTAAGAACAGAAAACACACATCGTGCTGCTAGAAGCTTCGAACACCGCTATCTTTGTGTCTCTGAAACGTCTGTCAGCGCAGCGCCTTTTCTCACTCGAGCACAAGTTGCTGGCGGCGCCCCTGCATGTGGATATGGATTTTATTGTTTTTCTCAACATAAACAAACAATATAAACACGATAATCCTATGCTGACTCAGATGTGTGTACGTTCTGTACGATATCTGGCGCAATCTGCTTTATTAGGCGTGTTTAAAAATTCAACTTAAAAAATAACGTCTTTTTCGTTTAATGTCATTTAAATAAACGAATATTCGATTTTTATGAGCCCGAAGATTCGAATGTAATATTTTTGAAAAATGCCCACCCCTAGTTGAAACCATCAATAAATTAAAAATTTTTGCATTTGTTAAATGTCAGAATCGAGCGAGGTATAATTTTCATGTTTTTTCTTTTCACTTTCATTAAAGTCAGAAGTATACATGCACTACGTTTATTGTGTCTTTAAACAAAAAGAAACCTCCAGATGTTTCCACTCTGAGCTTGAGAAGCTTCTGATAGGCTAATTGAGTCCATGCGAGTTGATTGGTGGGACACCTGTGGACGCATATAAAGGCACAGCTCAAACACAGAGCCTCTTTCTTTGACATCATGGGGAAATCAAGAGAAATCAACCAAGACATCAGGAGAAGAACTGTGGACCTCCACAAGTGTGGCTCATCCTTATCACACCGCTCAGGAAGGAGGCGGATTCTGAGTCCCAGTGCGAAATGTGGATCCCAGGACAACAGCAAAAGACCTTGTGAAGACGCTAGCTGAAACGGTCATCACCCACAGTAAAACGAGTCCTGTTCCTCTATGAGCTCTGGTGAGTTACTCTGGGAGAAGAAAGCCATTATAACCACCATAAAAAGCCAGACTACTGTTTGCAACTGCACATGGGGACACAAATCTGAATCTCCAATGTCCTGTGGTCTGATGAAACAAAAATGTAACTGTACCATACCTCCGAATTAGTTACAAAGTGGCTTAAGGACAACTGGGTATTGGAGTGGCCATCACCAAGGCCTGATCTCGATCCCACAGCACACGTGTGGGCGGCGCTGAGAAGGCCTACAAACCTGACCCAGTTACACCAGTTCTGTCAAGAGGAGAGGGACAAACTTACAGCAAACTACTGTGGAAGGATGCCCATAACGTTCGGCCCAAGTGAGACCGTCTCGGGGCAATTCTGCCAAACACTAAGGAAGTGCAAGTACACTTCTGACTTTGATGAAAGGGATAAAAACAATACATAAAAATATCCCTCGCTCGATTCTGACATTTAACAAACGCAAAAAATGTTAATATTTATTGATCTAAAACAGAAAAAGTTTACTCTGATTTAATGTATGACAGTAAAGAAATAACAGTTGTTGTTTTTCTGAAGTGTATGTAAATATCTGGTTTCAACTGTAAATTAATGTATGTGTGACACAAAAAGGCTGTTTATTATTTTGGCCGGTAAAAAATATGCTTGGCTGTTGTGTTTTCTCATCTACCAGTCGCCGTGGCAGGAGAGCCACACGGCTAATCTCGGACCCTGGGGTGTGTGAACGCAGCAGAAATGTGAGCGTACGAGTTAGTTAATGTGTGATTTGTAGAATAGGATTTGTACGCCTGCAATGAGGAATTAGAGAAGGTGTAACTTGTGTTTGTGGGAGAGAAAACAAGTCTACAAGTTTGCAACTCTTAAAACATTTCTCTGTGACTTCAGATTTACCGATACACACACACACACACACACACGTGTGGCTTTTCTCTACAACTACACACTCCACTGTCACAGGCCTTCAGCTGATCTGCACCAACAACACCTTCACACTCCTCCACCAGGTCTGTTACTCATGGCTGAACTACAGGGTTCACACACACACTTCAACTTTCAAAATGTCATACTTTTGCAGAATTAAATTTCCAATGCTCTCAGTTTTTTCAGACCACATTTAACCAATCTTTCATTCTGCATTACATCAGCATTATATTTGGTATAAAGTACAGTCATCTGTGACTATTTTCATTTTTTTTCTCATCTCGAAGTGATAACATGCACGTTTATACTTTAGAAAACCGAATATGGACAATATTCTGGAAAGCACAAGTATTTCACCATACTCTGTTCTCCTCTTTTCCAAACTCACGCAGACCTGGAGATTACTCAAACACACTTCTCCAAACTGCATAGTAGGATCCCTGTGAATCACATGTCAAGTTGTCTGCTGTTTTGTTAAAGCTACGAGGAATGATTTGTGAGCCTTACTTTTAATGAGATTAATATCATAAATCACCGTGTAGCTTTTTCTCCCCTAGCAAAAGTGTGTGTCCCAGTCACATTACAGCGGAACACATTCCCAGGTCGTGTAGCATTTTTACAGCCGCGACTACATCGAAACTTACTATCTTCTTATAAGAAGAATACATAATCCATGAACATTAGCAGTGAGCTAGCTAACTAACTTCAGTAAACTATGATGAGGAGTTTAAACACGAGCTGAGGGCGCGCGCTCGTGCGCGGCTGGTCTTACCGTTCCCGTGCGCGCGGCCCGGTGCAGGGACGCTCTTCGCGGCACCATCATCACTATCGCCGTCGCACGCGTCCCGCGCCTCCGCCGCTCTCCGGGAGGCCGTCGAGCTCTTGCTGGTCTTCGCAGGCATGATGACCTGAGGAAGAAGAAGAGGAGCACAGTAACAGCGGCTCGAGTCTCCGTGCGTGCGTGTGTGTGTGTGTAGCGAGCTGCTCAGCTCTCGGGTAGAGCAGGGACAGCGACATATTCATCATCTGAGATGGCAATACACGAGCTCGCCGTGTCAAACCCGACCGAGACCTGTAGCTGTGTGTGTGTGTGTGTGTGTGTAGCGAGCTGCCCTCACACTAGTGTCGTGTGTGAGAGGTAAACCCGATGACGACATGACAACACTGCACACGTCACGCGCGCTGACAGCTTCACCGCGGCGATCCTCGAGACACACTAACGTTAACTATACACACTAACTGTGCAGAGAACAGCTGAGAGGGGCTTATATGTCGAGACAGACTACATGTGTGTGTGTTCTGAATAACGACTTCACTGTCTGCATGTGTGCTAACGTTACATGTTTGCTTTCCTAACATACACACCAATAACAAGAGCAATACATCATGCTTTCTCGAAGTAACTGTTTCTTAAAATACAATAAGATACACGAATTAGATTAAGGAAACGTTTTGTTTCAGGATACAACTCGCGAAACATGCATATGCTGCAATCGAGAAGCCAGTTAAGTAAAACTAGGAAATATATCCACATTTATGAGCCCAAACCGTGACTGTTATTCGAGCAGTTTAGTCATCAGAGCAGATAAACGCGTGTAAGTTATGCGATCTGACGCCCCGCATTAAAGTCGCATTTACCTCTGTCTGGTTCGGCTGATTCCCTCACGCTCGTCGAGTTTAGTCCGCGTTGAGTTCCTCTGAAACGGATTCGCATGTACTGAGAGTTCAGAGAGTAAAACGAGGGAAAGTCTGCTGAAATCTCACTCGTAAATGGCGCGTAAACTGAGTGTGACGAACCCGAGTCCGTTGTGACCCGCGCAGTGCTTCATGGGAACCCCACGCGTCACGTGACCGGGCAGTTGTTTGTTTGTTTTAGCGGCAACAGGCACACTGAGCATGTACAAAAGTCGAATCAATGGCAATTTATTTAAAAACAGTATAATTTAAGTTTCAAAAGAAAAAAAGAGGCCATAGCGTTAAAGAAAAATAAATACATACACACAGATTTTTTTCTCTAATCAATAAATAATTTAGCAAATCTTACATGAATACGTTAAATTTGCCCCCCCCCCCCCCCCCAAAAAAAAAAACTGAGAATGATTAATAAAACACAAATTATTTAATATTATCAGAGACGGGCTTTGATATTATGCATATGGTCGCTACATCTCGTGAGAAGTGAGGCAGAAGGTTTGGTGGAGTTAAGTCTCGCGAGATGTAGGGCAGCGTTGTTTTATCCGCCTGTTCACTTCCTAGTATTCTGCAGGGGAAACAACCCGTAACATAGCAAAAAGAAGACGATTGGGAGATGATGAATACGACTAGTGTTTACTCAGAAGTGTTCTCCCTCAACATAGACAGCCTCAAGATCATTTAATGTTTTTAAAGCTGTTTTATTCAGAGGTAACGTTAGCTCGCTAGCACGGCAGTGGCGGACGCGTTTCCGTGGCAACGGCGCCTTCAGTCAGGTAAACAAACATGTTTCATTACCGCTACTCTCCTCAAGATAGATGTCACATTTGAGTGGATTTTCATCGTTTCTTCTTATAAACAGGGAACTATATCGCGTTTAAAGCACCAGAAAGACGCTGAAGGATGCGGTTGAAAACATCTCTGCTGAAGGACCCCAAACATATCCTTTACATTTACAGTTCACATGATGTGATAATGCATAATCTGTAAAGAACACGCTGTGTATCTGTCTACAGTTTACACTGATTACATCTCTTATTTTGCTGTGACGATGATGATGTTTGGAACACACACTGTACGTCTTGGTCACTATAATAATATGTAGCAATTTTGGTTCTTTTTCGTGAATTTATTAAGGGTCTCCTGGAAATGTGAACAAAAATATAACGTTACATACAACAACTTGAACTTTAGCGCTGTAAACAAATCCTCTAGTCTAAACTCAGTGTGAGTAAAGAGTTTTGTGGTCAGATGAGACACAACATGAGCTGTACAACAGTAATCTTTAACCCATAGGTACAGTCCGCATTATGATGCTCTGAGGCTGTTTTACAAGCCAACAGATGTAGTTGAACTCAATATCCTCAATAACTTATGAGAAGGATCAAAGATTTATAATTTTAAACGGTTTGTAAACTTTTGAAGTTTAGTTTTGATCATAACTGGTTATATAACAACTTTAAAACACTCACACTGCATTCCACACATATAAATAAACCTAAACACTTAATCCCAAGGTTGAAGAAGTGAAAACAAATGAGGTGTTCGTTTGAGGGCTACTTATTTTTATAGTGCTCAAATGAGATCCTGAGAGCTGTGATCGTGGCAGACGTGACGACAGCAGCATGACCAAGCTTCAGGATCACTACACAATAAACTCTGCTGAACTACATTCAAGACAATTGTCCAAAAATTGTTTATACCAAAAAGTGAAGTTCACAATGGGCAGTTTTTGCCATTTAAAAGAGGACCTATTATGTCTTGATGTAGTTTCAGGCTCTACTGGAACAGGTTTTCCTGCTTGAATGTTGATTATTCTCCTCATATTCTCCACTGTTGCGGCTCCTCTCGTCCCAGTCTGTCAGTAACGCTCTGATTACTTCCTGTCTCTATGAAGCCCCTCCTCCTGAAAAGCACACTGTGCTCTGATTGGTCGGCTGGAGCAGTGTGTTGTGATTGGTCGAGCGCTTCGAGTGTGTTTGGGAAATGTCCCGCCCCTTACCATAACCACCAGTTTAACACACTACTAACTAACTCAACCAGGCCCCGCCCCTTTATTCTGCGTATGGATTATTATAATGAGGAATAGTGACGTGTTTGCCTCCTCTTTGCCCTGAAACATGTCTGATGTCTGAGGCTGTTGTCCAGAGGTTTGTAATGAGCCCTTAACAGCGCTGCACACCGAGAGCTGGTGAGCGGGGTGGGGTGGACCTCGGCGGACGAGCTGTACTCCTGCAGCGACGACCACCAGATCCTCCGCTGGAACCTGCTCTCCAACGACACCAGTGTGCTGGTCAAGCTGCAGGACCACATCTATCCCCTCGACCTGCACTGGCTCCCCAAGACCCTGAGCGGGAAGAAGCAAGCCGGGGCCGAGGTCTTCGCCCTCACCAGCACTGACGGTAAACCTATGATCCGCCTCCTCACATGTGCTGTGCTAGTTTAAAGGGGACATATCATGAAATCGGAGTTTCTCCGTGTGTAAGTGCTATAATCGGGTCCCTGGTGCTTCTACCAACACAGAAAACAGTAAAGCGAAACCCAGTCACTCTGTTCTGGGGAGCCTTTCTCTGCATGTGAAAAAATAAGCCGATCAGATTTCGCTCCTTCTGATGTTTAGAGGATCTTATTGTAATATTCCCGGCCCTTAATCTGCACGTTTACACACACCAGCCGACATTGGGTTCGGCGAGCGCCAACAGAGACCAGTTCTAACGCACTGGAGAAGATCCAGCAACTGTTCTGTGGTCGAGCACAGACGACACTGAACACTATTGACCAGAACATGTCAGCGCTGTCTTATAAACACCTCAGGAACTGTGGACACTTGTGGAAGAGTTCAACATGATGAGGAGATGATCAGTGTAACTCCACAACAACTACTTCTGTTATTGCCGGAGTCTCTGAAGCTCCTGTAAAGGCTCCGCCCTCTTCTGAACGGAGGCGGAGCTAAAGCTCATTTGCATTTAAAGGGACACACACACACAAAAACGAAGCGTTTTTGCTCACACCCAAAAAGGGGCAAATTTGACAAGCTCTAATAAATGATCTGGTATTTTGAACTGAAATTTCACACACTCATTCTGGAGACACCATAGATGTATATTACATCTTGTGAAAAGGGGCATAATATGTGACCTGTGAAAGGCTGTGTTGTGCTTTGGGGTGAAATACGGGCCTCCAGTACTTGGACATGGCCTGTGTTCAAGTACTGGCTTTAAAGCTTTTGTTCAGAGCTGCTGGCAAACTGTATTTCTGCTCACATGTGTCTCATTTGCACAATATTTAATGCTTGTTTCGTGCACCTCTAACCTGCACTCACATGCACTAAATATAGCTCAGCGGCGGGCAGCAACATGCTGATTTGCAGTTTTAGCCGACCACAAATTACACAGAACACTGCTGGTTCTCTTGCAGCGCCACTAAGTATACGCCTGGCTAGTGTCCTCGATCTGTGTCTCTGTGCCTGACTGCAGCGCTGCTCGGGGCGGCTCAGAGGAACCCACAGTATGCAGACTTTTGCACAATTTGGTAACCAGATTAAAAAGTCTACGGCTGGATTTCTAGGTCATATTTCACCCCAGAAAAAAACACATTAAGAAGCTAAATTGAAGTCTGTGTTTATGACAACAATGTAACAATATTTTCATGACAGTTAAGCTGATATTTCCCACAAATATTCCCAGGTGTTTTACTTTCACATTCATTGGTAATACTCGGTATTTGCAAATTGCAATGATCGACAAGGGTGTCGAGTTACATTCAAGATATTTAAAGGCATGAAGACATTTTATTCAAGGAAAAAACTTTAAAAAATCAAAGAGCTGAAGTATTTAAATAGAGTTATCATTATAGTTATGGTTCTTGCTGTGAAGTATGGGCCTTTACAGCACTATTATGCAGAGTTTGGTCACCGTCTCCACTCGTCTAGTGTGTGTGATCAGAGCATGTGTCCTCGCTCTCACTGGACTGTGTGCTGTTGTGTTGTGCAGGCAAACTCCACCTGCTGTCTAAATCGGGCCGCATAGAGAAGAGTGTGGAGGCGCATCGAGGAGCCGTTCTCGCTGGACGCTGGAATCATGACGGGACCGCTCTCATCACAGGTTCAGCACTATACACACACTCACTGGTTTAAAGCAGACAAGTCTAATGGAAGTTGTGAGATATTGTAACAGACATTCAGTGTCAATGATGAATAAATAAAGCCTCTATTTGACCAGTTTAATCACAAACGTGATTGAAAGTCATGCCACATTGCATTCAGTGAGCAAGACAAAGACGACTGTGGTCACACAACATGACCAATGTTTGATTGAACTGTGAGATTAGTTATTGTGTAGCTCTTGTTTTCAGCCACCCGTCATACAGAGACGCTAGTTCCTCGTAGATAGGGTCAAGTCCCACTCTTTAGTGATTTTCTGATTATACTACTAAATGGGTACAAGCTGAATTTAAGCACACAGGTCAGATTTACATGACTGTTTACAAGGATGTTGTTTTCCTTTGTGTGTGTGTGTGTGTCAGCTGGTGAAGATGGACAGCTCAAGATCTGGTCTAAGAGTGGGATGCTGAGGTCAACCCTAGCCCAACAAGGTACACACACACACACACACTCATGGTTGGTCTTAGAGCATATTAAAAACACCACATAGACATATAAACAACATTAAAAGCTAGATTTCACCACAGTGGGACTTTAAACATTCAGTCTTTTAATTCCATTTAAAGTCCATTTTATTTAATCATTTAATACGATTTAAATGCCCACAAATGAGTTCAAAGGCATCATACCTTCAGCAGAAGAAACTCCTGGACATCATATATAAAGTCCTTCTGGACCTTTAAAACCCGTTAGAGAGAACTGAACCTGTGCTCAATAGTGTGATCACTAGAGCTGCAGTATAATGAGCTTTATGATGACTAAACTGACTCAGCGGACAGTAAAGCCCACTGCTTACTGAGTGTACTTGGAGTAATTAGTAAAACTTGTGTTTAATTTACTCGTCCAGCATGATTAACTCATGTAGAGTTGAGTCAGGGGCGACATCTGCTGCTGTGAGACATCACACACACTTATGCAACAGCTCGACACATCAAAACACATGTTAGCCCAAACAGAGCTGTCTGAACAATGCTGCTGAAACATTCCCAGCATGCACTGCAGATCATTGTTTCCCAGTTTGCTGACTTTTCAAACCCTTGTTGTTGTTTAGTCATTATTATTAGTTATTTGTGGTGGTGTGATGTTAAGAGCTCATGTTTTTACATTTGTTGATTGTCACCATTCTTGAGGTTTATGTGCAACTTTCTAAAACTTTATCCCAGATATCTTTGCTTTGCGGCTTCAGAAAGAGACAGGAGATAGAGCATGGTTCACTTCACATAATAAGTGTTCTATATGGCTACTCTTAATTTGATTTGCTGTGAAAGCCCAGTATCAAAGCTCTAATGGCGTCACGTGAAGGGCACACACATGCTCACAGTGTTTGAGAGTCTCTGTGAGAGGAGTTTCAGCCTTCCATCGGAGATCTTTCTAAAATATGCCAACATTACGTTCTGTTACGTTTATTGTTATCATTTTTACCCTATCTGGTAACACTTTATAACAACTGCACGCTATTAATCATTAGTTGAGCATTAGTAAGCAGTTAATTCATCATTTATGAAGCATTAATATACATCAATAAGCAGTTTATAAATACAGCTATAAAAGCTTTATTCTTGCATATCTATAATGTGTTTAATAATTGTATTTTCATCCTTTATTAATGATCAATTTATCATTTCTAATGAAGTATTGCATTATTTACAAACCAGTTATTTAGGAGTTGGTTCATAAGATCACTTAGAAAGTGTGATGGTTTTGCATATACTAAATAAGGCAAGGGTGTAGAGTTACATTCAAACTATTTTAATGCATGAAGAAAGTTTTTTTGTCACAGATATGTCATTTTGGTGACCGTAGATGAGTTTTAAGGGATAAATGATTGACTACAGGGGGACTTTAGGAAAGAAGAGGATGCGTGTCAGGTTGGGGTAAGAAGTGAGGATTTGGTTCAGATAGAGCTCACTCCGGCAGTGTGTTTGAGCAGGGATAGTGAAGAGGAAACTCACTACAGCCTCCTGTCAGCATGACCCCACACACACCACACACACACCTGGAGCGGCGCACATGACCACTCTCTGAGTTTGTCTACATGCACACCAGAACAATGTTTAAAGCATCTGAAGACATGGAAGCGGCGTTCAAGTTTACATGCGTTGTGTTAGTGGAGTAAGCAGCTTGCTCCGCACTCTTTGTTACTTTAGTGATCCCACACACACACACACACACTCTTGACCGCATGCGTTCTCCAGCAGAAACCCAGGTGTGCTGCACAGCTTCCTCCTGATCCCAATAGCACCTGGCTGCAGACAAGTGACGTCACTTGCACTCTCGGACTTGCACGCTCAGACACGAGCGCTTCCTCTGCAAGTGACGTCACTTGCACTCTCGGACTTGCACGCTCAGACACGAGCGCTTCCTCTGCAAGTGACGTCACTTGCACTCTCGGACTTGCACGCTCAGACACGAGCGCTTCCTCTGCAAGTGACGTCACTTGCACTCTCGGACTTGCACGCTCAGACACGAGCGCTTCCTCTGCAAGTGACGTCACTTGCACTCTCGGACTTGCACGCTCAGACACGAGCGCTTCCTCTGCAAGTGACGTCACTTGCACTCTCGGACTTGCACGCTCAGACACGAGCGCTTCCTCTGCAAGTGACGTCACTTGCACTCTCGGACTTGCACGCTCAGACACGAGCGCTTCCTCTGCAAGTGACGTCACTTGCACTCTCGGACTTGCACGCTCAGACACGAGCGCTTCCTCTGCAAGTGACGTCACTTGCACTCTCGGACTTGCACGCTCAGACACGAGCGCTTCCTCTGCAAGTGACGTCACTTGCACTCTCGGACTTGCACGCTCAGACACGAGCGCTTCCTCTGCAAGTGACGTCACTTGCACTCTCGGACTTGCACGCTCAGACACGAGCGCTTCCTCTGCAAGTGACGTCACTTGCAATCGACGCCTGCTCTCTACGGAACGCGATAAACGAAACGTGTGAAATTTGACTGCGTCAACACACAATTTTTTACGTGTTTCTTTTGAACGCGTAGACACGCTCATTTTGGTCGTGTTAAGGTGTCATTTGTCATTTTGTTGACAGTTTTTTTTTCAAATTGCTAAAACACTACAAGTGGAATTTGAGGCTCACTCAGTGAAACCATTCACTCATGTACCTAATCTTTAGACCAAGCCTGCAAAAATACAGGGACATTATATGCTTTGCACTCAGTTTGCATTTGAAAAACAAACTATTTGCAAAACTCTAAACACATTTCTCTACATTACACACATCATTCAAAACTAACAGCTCTTGTGTTTCATCTGGGAAACACTGGCATTTAAATGCCACATTACCAAATTACCACATTTACTGATGACCTACAGCCAATAATCATGTGGGAAAACACTTGTACATAAATTGATCATTTAGAAATCAAAACTCAGTTATGAGAAAGAAAGAAATTATTTTTACTATTATAATATATTTAATTATTTTTAATTATTTTCAAGACATTTTGGACAATTTCATGCTCCCAACTTTGTGGGAACAGTTTGTAGATGAAAAACATCAAGATGATGCTTTTTTTTTTCTTCTTTTTATTGTAAATGTCAATTTACAGTACACAGTTAATGTGCAAAACAGACAAATACAAGGTACAAATAGACAATATACAACATATATAAAAACACATTAGCACATTATTCACTTTGCTCTAGTGTAGTTCGACAGTTTACCTTTAATTTCATGACATCGACTGCATGTTCAAGAAACATTTGCATGTCATTCATTACAGTAAAGATGAAGCAAAAGGGTTCCAGAGCATCGATTCTGTCCTGTGGAAACTCAGCCTTCTCTAATCTCTCAATGGCTTCCGCAACGTCTTGTTCCTCCATACACACTACTTTGGGCAAATGAACAGAACCATGCAGTGCACTAGATTGATCCAAACACCACTTGCTGGCTATCTTCAAATCTGGCATCAATCGACTCTGTGAAATAACACGGAGAACAAGGGATTGCAAGTGACGCCACAGCCGGTAGCGGAGAGCAGGTGTCGACTGCAAGTGACGTCACTTGCAGCGGAAGCGCTCGTGTCTGAGCGTGCAAGTCTGAGAGTGCAAGTCTGCAGCCAGACCCTTCTCCCTGATCCCTTAATCGGCCTAAGAAAAACAGCAAACCCCTGAAATAACTGTTTCCTGAGGTTCACATTTAACTCCCCGCTCATGTATGGGTCAGTGTCTGTGCATATGAGCAGTGAGCGGGTTAACTCATGTGTGTGTGTGTTTGACAGGGACGCCGGTGTACTCTGTGGCCTGGGCTCCAGACTCGGGACGGGTCCTGTACACGTCGGGTCGGCAGCTCGTGGTGAAGCCACTGCAGCCCAGCTCTAAAGTCCTGCAGGTACTCACAGCACCCACACCATCAGGATCATCACTGACACACAGGTGCATCATCTCAACATACGCCATTCTCTGACCATGAGAACAACACCAAAATGGCCAAACATGTTTAAGTCAAGGAAAAAGCACAGCCCATCACAAGTGGTTTCTATATATCTGTAAACAGTTACACAATCTCTGTTAGCAATATAACAGCTACCCGTATACCAGTTCAAATTTCTGAACCGGTAAAAGTGTTCGGGTATCGATTCTCAGAGCCATGGCAAAAAAAAATCATATTTTCCTGATTTGACTGAGTTTACAGTCCTAATGAGATAAAAAAAAGGCTGTGTAACTCAAAATAATGTGAGGAACCGTTTTCTGTTGTGTTGTGCACAAATACAATTCACAAATCATTTGAAGAAGTTAAATTTACCTGATGAACGGTGTGCTGTTAGCGAACATCCCAGCGGCGCATGACACTGATGAGAGTTGTGTTGAGAAGAGTGTGTGAATACGCTGTCCCTCACTAACACAACGTGAAGTGAAGAAATGGTAGATGTGTTTGACCTGGAACTTGTATATTTAGCAGTTATTTTTAAGCTTTTGTTTTTTTAACTCCCTGCCATGTCTGTGGAACGGGGTTTTATGGTTGTAAAAACATAAACAGAACCTTCTTAGAACTTTATTATTTAGTTCCCATACATAACCAAACATGAGCCCAATACTAACGTTAGGGGAATGCTGTGCGTTCGCTGGGTAAACGGTGATGTAGTCATGTCACATGACTAATCGTGATGATCGAGTTGGATGGGATGGCTAGAGATATGTCTGTTGCTATAGTGGTTATAGTGCACGACCCTTGACCTCCTCACCTCCTCACAAGCTGAGGTCAGACCCAGGGGTGGGGGTCACAGCCGGGTCACATTTACTCAGCAAAAACACACAACACCACGCATTCAGATCTCTGGAAACAAAACAGAGTGTGTGTGTGTGTGTGTGTGTGTGTGTGTGTGTGTGTGTGTGTGTGTGTGTGTGTGTGTGTGTGTGTGTGTGTGTGTGTGTGTGTGTGTGTGTGTGTGTGCAGTGTTCCTAGAGAGAACAGAATCTAGATTAGGATGTGTTCAGGCTGTGCATACATAGCTTATACATACAATATTAACTGTACTGCAGTGAACTTTACACTCATCGTCGTCATCTTCATCATCATCGTCACAGAGTCAGCATTATGGGAGCTGTAGTATGGCACAACATGGCTATCACACTGTTTTAATCAAACTCTGCAGGAGTTTCTTTCACACTTCACAGCAGAATCATGTACTGAAGTGACTAGAGGAGCGTGTTAGTGTTAAACACACACCGTATCCAGTGGGCTCTGAGTCAAATGATGCTTAAAGGGTTCGTTCACTCAAAAAGGAAAATTACTTTTAACGACTGATGACATTATTAGAGTGTGTAATCCATGCGACTCCAGTGGTTTAACCTCAGTTTTACTAAGCATGAATCTGCAGCCGCGTTCAGGAGAGCACCACGACGCCTGCGTTGCATGTTGTGTCGATGCGAGAGCAGCCATTGTTGTGTAAACGTGCGTCGGAGATCAATATTTTGTAAGTTATGTTTTTTTGCACACCCAAAGCTCTCGCGTTGCTTTATAAAATTGAGGTTAAACCATTGGAGTCACATGGGTTACTTTAATGAGGTCTTTACTACCTTTCTGGGAAAGTGGTAGTTGCGTAGACTGTCAACGGAGTGACACAAAGCTCTCAGATATCATTAAAAACATCTTCATTTGTGTTCTGACGATGAAGGAAAGCCTTGTGGGTTTGGAACGACATGAGGGTGAGTAATACATGACAGAATAGTCATTTGTGGGTGAACTAACACTGATGTCATCGAGTCCACTTTGGTGTATTCATATACATGTCAAACATATTTACAAATGCCCACTAGAGCATAATGCCAGTCATAGGCTGTTGCTGTGCATGTGTCTCTCACTTAGGGAAGACCCAGCACAGCTCTTCTCAACAAGACACACACTCATTCCTGTAGCTCAGATCTCAATTACATGAACTGACAACAGAGCTGAACACATCCATTGAGTGCATTGTGAGTCGCTTTATGTAAAAGCCTCTGGCAGTGTAATAAACAGCGCTCATGATTGTACGTGCCTCTGTGTCTGCAGTGGAAAGCTCATGATGGAGTCATTCTGAAGGTGGACTGGAGTGCCGTCAATGATCTCATACTGTCAGGAGGAGAAGACTGCAAGTACAAGGTCAGCACATGTTGATAGTGCAATACCAAGAGTTGCTCTCTGTGAAGGCCGCTTCACGCCTGCTGTAGAGGGCATCTGATACTGGTCACTCGGGTTCACTGATGATGTCCCTGTGCATGTGCATGAACATGCTTACTATCAAAGCTGCAGTGCAGGTTATTGAGCCCAGTACACAGCATTCATCACAGGTGTTCACTTTCCAGTCGGAGCCTGCCACAAACGCTCCAGTTGTCCTCCAGTTTCAGTGGCCTCAAAACCTCAGTTACAGGCAAGAAGGGAAAGTGGCAGAGCGTGGCAGTGATGCATCTCTTATCAGTGTCAGCCTGGCTGAGATGGTGATAACTCATACGGCCAGACTGAGTGAGCAGGGCACATTAGTGTGAGAGAGCGCGTGATCTACTGATAACACAAATGAAAGAACACAAATGACCAACACAATCTACAAAGAGCAGCACGAATTAGCGTCTGGTTTAAGACGTGCTTTTTTGGGGCAGTAAATGATGGCTCAAACACCAGTACATTGACCAGAGCGATCCTGTCCTCCCATAAATCCTGCGTCTGAAAGGGGAACTCCTGCAAATGCTCCTGGGCAACAAGGTCAGCCGCAAAAATAACCTGTCCTTGCCTAACTTTTGTTACTTATTTTATTTTTACAACTTAACTTGTTGTTCAATGAGCCAAAACAACAGTGACAGATATTTACCTGCTCAAAAACCATAATTTACAGAAATTTGTCTTTAATCTTTCTATGTGATGTCTTTTATTTTTAGAGGGTCGAGTTATGACCTCATTAGTGACATTGGCTCTGATTACATCATCGCCTGTAATCATGGGTACACCTCAGGTTATTATATTCATCTGTGCTGTCTTCATAATGCAGCTTTACCATGACATTATGTTTAATGGTGCAGGAAATGATTTCTGAGAAGCACTGTTGATATTTGAACACCCAAACAAGCACACGTCTCCCTTCATTCCTCCGCCCCTTAAATGCAGGAACACAGGCACTAACAGCGGAGCATCAGACAGCTCGCGCTAGCACAGATGAACCAACAGCAGCAGTGTATCTCAAAGCCACGGCCACTCGTGTAGAGAGCAGAAACCACACCACCTCAGCATCAGTTTCAGGCCCTCCTGCTCTCTAATATTAGCATGCTTCCTGAAGCTCTTGCCTGATCAGAACCATCATTACCTCTGCTAATATCTCAGCAATCACAGACTGCACTTCTAACCAAGCAAGATGTACTTAAAGGTGCCCTAGAATGTGAAATTGAATTTATTTTGGCATAGTTAAATAACAAGAGGTCAGTACATGGACATGACATACAGTGAGTCTCAAACACCATTGTTTTCTCCTTCTTATTTAAATCTCATTTTTGAAAAACACCCCTGAAAAATAGGCGAATCTCCACATAACACCGACTGTGACGCAACAGTCGGGATCATTAATATGTACGACTCCAAGAATTTGCATATGCCAGCCCATGTTCAATGCCAGGCGGAACTGCGCAGCCGAAGCATAGCAGTTGCTCAGTGTTTGGATGTACACATGAACAAAAAAGTATTTTTTAGTTCCTTCATCCGAGCCTCTGAAGAAACAATGGGTTAATTTTATTTTCTCTGGAAATTTCCAAACATTTCACCGACGACTGTTTCCTCAACTTGGGCCAATACAGAGCTGGCCTCGGATCGAGCTACCAAGCAACACTTTCTGATGTGTAATTGTTCAAGTTCAGACAGGTAATCTTTCTCTCAAAATCGTTCAATACTGTTTATGCATCAGTAAGTCAAGCCAGTGACTAAAATATCAGCTTCACATCGTTTCTTTTAGTAGGATGAAAAAAAACGTATTTAAATTGTGAATAAATTATATACAGAAAGCGATCAAAGAACAATCTTTCCACACAGCGCGAGTTTATCTGGACACTTGCCAAACTCGTTATGAAATCAATGACGCACGTTACTGCACAACGAAGCTCTTACTGTATTTACATCATCGTGTTTGCATTGGTGAAAGCATTAGAGAGAGTGCAGAAACTGCGTTGCAATGATAAGATCTTCATTCTCGCGATCAACAGACTGTCATCTGCTCAATGCTCATCACGGCAACATTTTATGTGATGGGAAGGGAATAGATCTAAATACTTTAAAAACATCTCACGATTCGTTAATCTCGATAGCTGTAATAGTAAAAACGTATAATAGCTGTAGTAGTAAAATTATTCGATTGAGTTCCACATGTAATACATAGCTATTTCATATGCAAGCATGTCAGCCAATCACAGCAGAGGCCGGTTACACACAGCAGACACGCCCCTTCAAACAGAGCGTTCAAATCAGAGGCTAAAAGTAGGCTAGGAAAAATGCCTTTTATTTCTAAATTATGACTATTTTTGATCTAAAAAACATACTAACATTATAAGGGCAACCCAGGACACATTATAAAATAATAAAAAAAAAACATTCTAGGGCACCTTGAATGTGTTGTGCTGGGCAGCTGAGAGCAGTGTTGACCTCTGCCCTCCAGGTGTGGGACAGCTATGGGCGGCTCCTGTTCTCCAGCTCTCCTCATGATTACCCCATCACTGCAGTGGCCTGGGCTCCTGACGGAGAGCTGTTCGCCATGGGCTCCTTCCACACGCTCAGGCTGTGTGATAAGACCGGGGTAAGTGGATCTTCCTCATTCACACACGGGCTTAACTACACCTCTAGCTGAACGGGTTAATCACTCGCCTGGGCGATCCTCTCAAACCCTCTGCACATGTTCAACATATTGAGAGTTTTAAGTTCCTTAAAGTTGGAATGAAATGGAAAATCTATTTTCTGAATGCATCTTATTGATCTTATAGTGAACTATTCATCCATGCATAACGAACACAGTGATAAAAGCTTCAGCCATTATCGGGAAATTTTGATACCATCACATGCCTATATACATATACATATTAACAGATCATGCCATTTCCACCTCATTATCTAACATATCTAGTAGGAATTCGTGCCTGTAATAGTTATAGAACGGAAAGTCATTTCTTTCTCATGGTAAGTGCTTACTGAAATCCTGGACAATGTTACCTCTCACATAAACTCATTGTAACGGGCTTTCGGCCACACTCGTGTGTGTGTGTGTGTGTGTGTGTGTGTGTGTGTGTGTGTGTGTGTGTGTGTGTGTGTGTGTGTGTGTGTGTGTGTGTGTGTGTCTGGTGACGGGTTAAAGCTGTGAGGGTTTCATATTGTGTGTGTGTGTGTGTGTGCGTGCGTGTGTGTGTGTGGTGACGGGTTAAAGCTGTGAGGGTTTCATATTGTGTGTGTGTGTGTACGTGTGTGTGTGTGTGCGTGCGTGCGTGTGTGTGTGTGTGGTGACGGGTTAAAGCTGTGAGGGTTTCATATTGTGTGTGTGTGTGTGTGTGCGTGCGTGTGTGTGTGTGGTGACGGGTTAAAGCTGTGAGGGTTTCATATTGTGTGTGTGTGTGTGTGTGTGTGTGCGTGTGTGTGTGTGGTGACGGGTTAAAGCTGTGAGGGTTTCATATTGTGTGTGTGTGTGTACGTGTGTGTGTGTGTGTGTGTGTGTGTGTGTGTGTGTGTGTGTGTGTGTGTGTGTGTGTGGTGACGGGTTAAAGCTGTGAGGGTTTCCTCCGGAGTGCTGTGTCAGCGGTTCACTGCATTAACCCCCTCAGTAAAACACACGCGAGTGCCAGAGCGCATAAACACACTGCAGTTTTCCAGCTCAGCTCAGAGACACATCACAGATGCAGCACAGATGTCTTTACTCCTAATGTAACACGAATGATCTGGGTGTGTGAAATGTGGTGAGTCCGATAAATAAGCTTGCCTTCAGTGCTGGGGACTCTCAGTGCAGTTATTAGACTGAGGGACTGAGACCGTTGATTCTTTAGGCTGGTGTTTGATCCGCTACAGGATCTCTTGCGGAGTCCAGTTTCAGTTCAGCAAAGGTTGCTCAGCTCCTGCTGTGTGGATGATGCATCAGTGGCAGCGCCAGCGTGTCTCACTGAACGAATACTGATATTGAAATGCATTCATGTTCAGTGAATACCATGTCTTTCAATCAAGATTACGGTTTACAGCTGCATGAAGAACTAACCATCGCACTACATTCAGGTCAAGTGTTGAACACTGTAACCACAGCTCTGTTATGAGTTATTATCGAGCTCACAGTGTACGTGTGTGTGATGTAGTGCACATATGCCACTAGACAGCAGTGTATTTATGAGTGTTTGCAGCATCTGGACTCTCACTCACACTAACCAGTGTGTATCCGCTTCTTCTTCTTCAGTGACGACTGAATTCACTCAGTTTGCCATGCTTTGTGTTGTGTGGAGCTTGAAGCCAAGCCCGTTTCAGAGGAGGTTTAGATTTGACTAAACCACACAAATCTACCCTTACAAAAAACAAGTGTACTCCAAGTTCATTTCTTTATAGCTAAGTAAAGTTCAAGTATTCTCTAAGTTTTTTTTTTCATGCTAAAAGACAGAAAATAGAATAAACAAGGCATGTACAAAAAATACATCATACACACCCTCATTCCCTCACTCGCTCAACCCAAAGACTGCGTACGCACACCCACACACACATACGCAAACAATACAAACAAAACTAACACACATCTACATTTATCGACCCCCCCCCCCCCCCCCCCCACCCCCTCCCTACTCCCTCCCTACTGAGTGATCTACCATGTATCTTTAAGTATTCTTTAAGTAAGAAACCAGATAGCAGTGGACTTGTAAGTGTACTGTTTCAGTGATACTCGGGACTACATTGGCCCACTTAGAAAACAGTGTACTTTTAGGTATACTTTAAGTGTAACAGTTGTAAACTAGTTGTATACTCAGTTTACTACTAAGTTTTTAACAATACTACAAATAAACGTATAGGTTTACTGATAGTGTACTAGTTAAATACTTGTAGCGCATTTTTAGTTTATGAAAATACACTTTGAAGTGTACTGTCAGTAAACTAACAGATCAGTAGTTTTATACTTTTTCTTCAAGTGAACCTAGCATCATACTTAATTGTGCACTTTAAAGTAACAACAGGTCGTTTTTTGCTCTCGGGCTCCCCCTACAGTTGGGAAACAGTATTGTCCTCTACTACTGTCGTAAACTGTCATCCTACATGCACGTGCAATTGTTGACAACCAGGATAGCCCTGAACACTGTAGGAGGAGGTCACATGCAGGTGTTCCCGCGTGTGTGAAATGTCTTCATCCCAGGTACAGTGGCATATATTTCAGCATGTCATATGAATATAATTTCATGTGTTTTATTTTTTTTCTAACGACAAATGATCGCGATGCTCACGTTTACAAGCCAGCGTCATTATAGTAGCCTAGTCTATTGGTTACCGTTTTACTGAATCTATGTGATACTTCAATGCAATGTTTGAGTGGTTGATAATAACCATATATCGTCAATATTATAATATCAAGCTACCATAAATGAATCTGCAAATTTTACAAATCGATTTGCATTATAGCTTGAGGCAAGACAAATAAACAAATATCACAGACATGTTAGGTATCCTAAAATATGATTTTATTAATAATCTTCCTCCTTTCTTTGTACATGTTGAGTAGACTACACTTTTTAGGTCAAACATTTGCTATTTGCATTTCATCGATTGCAAAGTTCAAATCAGAACGAGAATACTAGCGATAGCTAACCATCAAAAACTAGAATATCGTTAGCTACCAGATTGATAATTCGCTACTACTCTAGCGAATTAGAGAGGTTAGAGAGAGGCATTCTTTTTTCGATGGAGGGTTCGATGCTCCCTGCACACGCAAGGTCTCTCGCTCGCTTTCTCTCTCTGCCGTCCGCGCGCGTTGGAGCACAGTCTCTGTCTCGCGTGCGCGCTCGCTCTAGATTCCGGGAGATTTGAACTAATTTGCGGTATAATTCTTTTACTGTCTATGGGTATAACTTGTCGATCACGAGTGGCTCAACAGGTAGAGATCTATAGATAAACTCATCTTTCAGGCATTTGACCGACCGGGTTGACAATTTAGCGTGAGAAACCGGGGGTGTGGCGTACGTGTGAGCGTGTGAAACCAATCAAATGCGGGTGTCTCACGGCCAATGCGTGAGAGTTGGCAGCTCTGCAATGTTGATCCTCGTTCTACCTTTAACGCGATCACTTTCTCTTTTTCTCTTTTTGCTTTGCTCCGATAAAACCTTTGCTTTCTTGTTTTTCTGTGCTGCTTCGGCCATGACTATAACATTTGGCTCGCAAGTCCGATTTTAAGGAAGTGGGGGTGGTGGTGGAAGTGACGTATATGCCGTAAAGCAGTCGAATTTTGTAGTTCTCTTTGTTCGCCGGTTACTACCCGAAACCCGAAGTTTAAAAGTATGATTAAAAACGCTACAGACCCCGTCAGGCTATGGCAGACGTGTCATTCAACCTATTGTAAGTCGATGTACCATCACAAGAGACTTGGAAATATATTATGAAGGTTGAAAAGTTACCTGTTGTTACTTTAAGTATACTACTATGTAGGTATTCATTTTTATACTTGAAATATACCTTTACCTGTGCTTTAACTCTTTACCTGTGCTTTAACTCTTTACCTGTGCTTTAACTCTTTAACCGTGCTTTAACTCTTTACCTGTGCTTTAACTCTTTACCTGTGCTTTAACTCTTTAACCGTGCTTTAACTCTTTACCTGTGCTTTAACTCTTTAACCGTGCTTTAACTCTTTACCTGTGCTTTAACTCTTTAACCGTGCTTTAACTCTTTACCTGTGCTTTAACTCTTTAACCGTGCTTTAACTCTTTACCTGTGCTTTAACTCTTTACCTGTGCTTTAACTCTTTACCTGTGCTTTAACTCTTTAGCTTTAACTGTACTTTAAATAAAAGTTGCCAGTCAGTGCCTGAATTTTGATCATTTTCACAAAACTTTCATATATTAGCTGTATCTGAACATGCATCAGAAGAAGGAGCTGAAAGTACAGTGATTATATCCCCTTTCCCCTGTTATACATTTATGTATAGCACTTTACACAGTCCAGATCGTTTCAAAGCAGCTTTACAGTGATAAACAGGGAAATAATGCTGTTGTTCAGCTGAAGTCAGTTCAGTGTTGATTCAGTTGTAAAGAGCATCGATTATTAAATTAGTTCATTTCATCAGTGCAGTCAGATCAATAATATTGTTGAATATTAATTTAATATTTTATACAGTATGCATTATTGTAGCACAATAGCCACTTCCACACATAGAACCGTTCCTGGTAAAGTACTGTTTAGAGATCGTGTGTGAGCAGGACCTTTTCAAAAATACAGCTAAATCTGTTCTGGTCATTTCCCAGTATGAGAAGTTTACCATTACCAGTGAATGACCAGTATGAGCATGTGTAGTGTCAGCACGCCCTGCTTTGGGCCAGTAGAGCTCTGTCTGAGCAGTTTACAGTCGTTCTAGACCGGGGATTCATGTCATTACAGCTCTATACTGTCTGTCTCTGTATTCTATTTGAGTGACTTCTAAATAATGAATGTAAATGGGAATTTCACACGTAAATAATATTGCTTGTTGTTATAAAGGTAAGAATGAGCCTGGAAATGAGTTTGAAGGAGTCGCAGCTGTGATCTGGGAGTCACATGACCACGACAGGCCAGATATAAAACACACTCCGCTAAACACTGTCTAACTATTGTTACTGACAACCACTTTTGCTCACCCCGATGTGGATCCACATATGCACACACAACGTGTCCCTGTGCGTGATCTCTTACTGTGTGTAGCGTGTCAGAAGGTGTGTGTGGATCTGAACAGCATATCTGTCCTGTGTGTAACTGAATAATAGCAGATGTAAGTGAAGCCAGCTGTGCCAGATGTGCTCAGCTCACCTCCCTACTGCCAGTGTGTGTGTGTGTGTGTGTGGGTCAAGAGTCAGGACAGACATATCTAACGTGTCTGATGTAATGGGGCTGATTCAGCAGCACATACGTCCACAGGGAGTCATTACAGCACAACATATGTCAGTGACCCTCCCCCAAAACACACACACACACACACACACACACACACACACACACACACACACACAGAGAGATGGTTGGCTGTTTTCTTAGCACTATTTTTCATTCACGTGACATAAAGCAGTTTTCAGGACTTGTCTGTTTGGTCTTGTGCTGTGTGTCTCTGTTGTGTGACTCTGACTTCTCTCTCTCTCTCTCTGTATATATACGTCAGGTGAAGGACACGTACACACACACACACACACACTCTCTCTGTATATTTACGTCAGGTGAAGGACATGTACACACACACACACACACACACACACACTCTCTGTATATATAAGTTAGCTGAAGGAGAGGTCCTATGCTTCAAGACTTTCTGTCTCATGACCTGGTGGCAGAAACTATTTGCTTGTTATGTAGAGTTTTTGATCTTGTAAATGTGTTAATTTAGACCAGGTCATCATATGAGCTTGACAGCAGGACAGAATTACACACCAGCAATGTTCCTACACTAGCGTACAGTTCGTCCCGTACAGTCCTGGAACAGATCAAGACTCGGCAGTTCCAGAGGACAGAGAGAAGCCATTAGATGATTGGGATGTTTAATGAGGGTTGTGCAGCCTTTTGTCCTACAGTACACACACACACACACACACTCTCTTTCTCTCTCACACACACACACATATTCTCTCTCTCTCTCTCTCTCTCACATTCACACACACACACACCTGCACCTCAGAACGACCCAGCTGAACAGACATGTGCACACACACGGGTGTGATTTATCTGTGTTGTTCTAGAAGCAGTGTGTTCTCCAGCATTGAGCTGGAGAGGTGTGTGGTGTGTGTTTGAGGCTGATGTGTTCAGCTGGAGGAGACATTAGCTGTTACTGCAAACCTCAAACTAACTACAGCTCACGCTAGCTTCACTGTTACCAGGCTCAGCATCACACTGTTATATCAGCTTGTATTGAGCAGCCATACTTTATGCAACTGACACGCTTCCAGCTCTTTTTGAAAAGTGCACTTCTGTTTTTAATGCTACAGTATGTCACTTTTTATTAAAAAAATCAACATGTTATTAATGAGAGAGTGCAAAAAAAAACATCTTCCTAAGCATGTCTTTGCCCAAATACAGTTTGATAAACCTATGATAATGATTTATAAGCTGAAAAGCTGTCAGGACTGTATTTGTGTGAAACTGCGTTGAGCACTTGTGTGATTGGCCTGAGAGGTACACACACAGAGAGAGCAGCTCCGGCTATGGCTAGCTGCCGATCAACCTTATATTACATGTACAGCACAGCACGCTTACTTTATATAAGATGCTGAGAGTTCACAAGTGAGCTAAAATACACAATGCTAACCAGTGCTAACATATGAATGAGGTAGTTCCCCTGAACTCACCCTGATGCTGCTCAAAGCCCTATGACCTGACACAAAAGAAGACGTTTACAAACGTGTCCTGTCGCGCTCGTGCTGATAATGGAAGTGAGCAGTGGAAACTATCAGGACATGACCCGTCTGTTCCACCTGTCCTGAAGGCATACTATAGTATAGGGCTGTCCCAGAGACAGGAAACATGTAGCTTTAGCCAAGAATCTTGACAGGGGCCGTTGGAAAAGCACATCTTTTGGAGAAATCAAGGATCAAGTAGCATCAATATGAGAAGTTTATTAAATATGATCACTTTGGCCAGCACTACTTTATCATAATGTTGAATGAATTATTTACATTCCTATTATGTGTGTTTGTGTAGAAGCCAAAGAATCTCATTTTTTTATCCACTGATCTGTGTGGGTCTCCAAACGTGTGTGTGTGTGAGAGAGACGTTTGGCGTCTCTTCGATGGATGGCTAAGAATGTTCTCTTCTCCACTAAAATGAGAGCAAAACTGATCCCTCTCCCTCTCCCTGTGTCAGTGGTCGTACTCGCTGGAGAAGCCGAGCACTGGGAGCTTGTTCAGCCTGGCGTGGTCTGCGGACGGCACTCAGCTGGCGGGCGCCTGTGGGAACGGACACGTGCTGTTCGCTCACGTCGTGGAGCAGCGCTGGGAGTGGAGGAACTTTGAAATCACTCTCACCAAGAGACGCACGATGCAGGTACACACGCGTTCAGCCCCATGAACACTCCTGCAGGGCACTACCACATCCTCAGCTTTATCTTTATTAGTAAACACAAGGGGCAACTATTCAAAAACACTCGAATTACAAGTTCCACTCTCTATCCATTAGGCCACAACTGCCCCCAGAACCTGGGTCAGATCTACAACAAAGTGTCCAAAATTCACTCACTGGTTTTCTCAGTAGTAAGTTTTGAACCCTGAAGAGTTTAAATGTTAGATTTCTAAAGCAGAATGAAGATGTTGTGACTGCAGAGCTGTTTGTTCCTGTTGATCATCGAATATGCCCACCCATAATGCCCTTATACCAGTGGGTCAGACTCCAGTCATTTAGTTTTGAGTTTTGAGTTCAAACGTTTTATAATGTGAAGCTGCTTTTACACGGATGCAGGGTTATCACTGTTAAACTGAAAAACAACTCCATTACTTGCAATAAAATGAATATAAAAAACATCTTATTGTATTTCAGCTAGTTGCCAACGTGACGTTTCTCTTCTTCCTTTAAAGTTGAAGTACTAAAATAAAAATGATGTATTAACAAAACCTATTAAAAAAATGACAAAACACATCAGAATGGCTAAAAACTTTAATTAAAGTAAAATGAAAACAGAAACTGTAAAAATAAAATCAGTGATTCTAAAATAATCTTGCACTGATGTCAGACTGATTCATTCATTTGATATGAGTCATCAGATTTGTTTTCATTTCCATGGTTACATATAAAAAGAGAAAATAACCAGATGAGAAGAAACTCCTTTCATTTGTAGTTGATTTCATCCATTTGAAAATAGCCTTTAAAGGGGTCATATAATGCCATTTTTGTACAAGCTAGTATGATTCTTTAGGGTCTAAATTAAAAGTTTGTAATATACTTTAATTAAAAATTCTCATTAGTATTGTAAGAAAACACTTATTTTACCTGGTCAAAAACAGCTCCGTTTTCAGCACGCCGTTTCAGTGCATATGACTTTAAATGATCATGAGCTTTGCTCACTCCGCCTCTCTGTTCTGTGCGTACACCGTTTGTAACTCAATAACACAATAACCATAACGCGTTGTTCAGTATAAACGTGGGATTATGAATTATATTGAGAACGTCGTACATAGAAAACATGCCGTAATGTACCCTGAGTGTAAACCTTAGACGCATTCATTGTGAAGCGTGCATCTAGCGATTTGCAAAGATTAATATAAATATTAAAGTTTAATAAAACGTTACACTCACTTCAGTTATTTTGGAGGTTCAGCAGGAACACGAATATCTGGTACCGGTCCAGGAGCAGCAGCTTAGCAAATCCAGCTTTATACTGACCCTCCTCGTTTATAAAGCAGTCTGGTGAGAAATGATTCGGCAAACATGAGAGCATTGACGTTGCTCGTGGGGAATATTCCCTTCGAAAACAAACTCAGCCACTGCGTCTTCAGCGGTTCGGATTTAGGAACATTAAAATGACTGTGTTCGTTATTACACCCAAGAACAGAACACCACAATCGCTTAGACGCCATTCTGCTCATAGACAGTGCTCCAGCATATCAACAATGACCACGCCGGTCCGCGCAGACTATGATTGACAGGACGAGCGAGGGCGGGTCTGTGTTGAAACGCTCCTGTCAATCAACAATCGTGGGAGGGGCTTCCGAGCTTGTGACGTCACACGGTCGAACGGCTCGATTTGAGACAGGGGAAAACATATAAGGAGATTAAAACAAAAACACTGAATGGATTTTTATCATTGTATGATGGTTGTGTACAGACACTGCCAACACACATTTCAGTACAATCAACTTGTAAAAGTGCATGTACCATTATATGACCCCTTTAATGCTTGATTAATAATATAACAACCCTTTTTGATTAGTTCCACCCAAAATGACTACTTATTAGTAACGCTATTACCCTGATATCGAATTCTTTCTTATTCATCATCACATGATATGATTATAATCGTATCGTTTTGGTCATATTGCCC